TGTTTTAAGGATTACGCCATCCAGGATTAGGGCCACCCCCCCCCCCCCCCCCTCCCCCCCCTGAGCAAACTTGTCTTTGGTTTTCTCCGTCTTACTGCTGTTTCTGCTGCTGCTGCCTCTGCTGCGACGGTGATGATGGTTCCTTGGCTCGTCCGGGCGCTTGGTTCACCAGGGGGCTGGACTGTGCCCGCACTACTCAGCATACTTCACGGCCGGACAGTTGTGGGGGGCCACGCAGATGACACTCTTCGGAGGGGTGTTTCAGACGCTCGCAAAGTGAGAGAGCGAGACAGCAGTGAGCGAGAATTGAGGTTCTATGGGGGCCCCTTTGCGGCGGTAGTGGCGCGAGCACCGCGAGTAGCAAGAGGCGAAACACAGATGATTAACTGCTCGGCGTCCGACCACTCTACAGTTGAAAAATCTCTCGGCGGTTGATACTTATTTATTTTTGTTAAAACATTTTTCTCGCAAAAAACGAAACAAGTCCTTCTTCTATCCGCAGATAATTAAGGAGCCCGCGGGAAAATTGCAATTAATGTGTCCTGTTGTTTTTCTGGTCGCTTTTAAGACAGAGGAGGCCGGCCCTCCTCACACCAAACCGTGCGTTCTTCAGAAACTCAGGCTTCGAAGGTTTGGGAATATGTAGCTGTGTTAAAGCTTGGGAGCCTTACAGCATCGCGTGGTGCGTGTGTGTGTGCCGCCATTGTAACCCTGTCGAGCACGAGGAGGACCTCTGCACCCTCCGCCCCGACATGTACATAGGGACTCCGGCCTTTCCCGGTTTATCTTGTCGGAAGGTATGGCCCGTTGACGAGGGTTCAATTGTTTTGTTCCACGTTGTAGAGGCAGTCTAAATTTTTCCTCTTTTTTCATCAACGATTGTTCATCTTCCAATTCACTTTATTGTTACTTGATCTATTTTCGTCACACGCGTCAATTTTTTTGACTGCATCGTTCTATGCCCTACACACGCTGCCCGTGTTGTTGTTGTTGTTGTTGTTGTTGTTCATGTTTGGTTTTTCTCTGCAGGAGCGGGTGGGGCAGGAACCTGCTCCTGAACAACGTCGGGGCGTTCAGCAGGGGACTCTTCTCGCATGAGGGGCCCACCGAAGACCAGATGAACGAGGCGAGTTACGTAGTTAGCTGGAGACCGGACCGAAGGCTGTCTTGGTGTTGGGTTGTCTCGTCTCTTCGCCTCGAGGGGCGAACGATACTGTTGCTGTTTGCTCGTGCGATAACGGGCATCCTGCACCCTCCCTGGTGGGGGGCATTCATTCATTCGTGTTGTTCGAAGAACGGGGAGATAACAGTTGAGGGTCCATCTGACGGTAGTCCGTGGGTGGTGTTGGCACCGATTAGTTCGTGATGCTCACCACGTCAGGGTGCACGTGGTAAAAGCCCCCATCCCCGTCCGAACCCATCCCGTCCCGGTAGGATTCGATTGTGCCGTTCCGCGTGGATGGAAGGCTTCGGCCGATTGCGGAACGTGGGTCGCTTTCAAAAGATCCGACAAGGTCTCGCCGAACGAACATTGCCATTTTTCTGCCGCGTAGAAGGAAAACGGCCGCTTCCTTGTAGATTTTTTTGGTTGACGCTAAAAGTTGACCAATCAGAGAACTACGGGAACCCTGTTCATCTCCCTCTTATCCGTGTCGATTTGAAGAAACTAGTCCGGTTCTTCCTGTAAATGTTGGTGTTGCGTTGTGTTTGCTGCTGCTGCTGCTGCTTGTGTTCGGCAGACGTCCTTCGAGATGACCTTCTTGGCCAAGGGGTACTCTACGCCCCCGACTGCTGCGGAGCCCCCCGCCACGCCCGCCGCCGGCGCCGACCCCGGCGAGGTAGAAGCTGCCGCGGCGGCGCCGGCCCCAGCGCCGCCCACGGTAGAACCAGACGTGACCGTGGTTACCAGGGTGAAGGGCCCAGAACCAGGTGGAGAACATCTGTTGCGTGTGTTTTTCTTATTACACCGATTCGGTGCCGGTTACGATACAAGAGAATCGGCGTGAGAGAGAGTGTACTATGCATTCAGAGGGTGAAAATCACTTCGTTCTCTGAGGAAGCCGGTAGCGTGTGTCCCGGCTAAATACCCCCCGTGCACCCCCCCCCCCCCCC